TATACGCCCTGTTCCTAAGTCTCGATACCAGGGGGTCCATGAATGTAGAAATGTAGGGGACCTACCTACCTACTTTACTTTTTACTTTTTCATCCTCTGTTGCCTTTAAGCGTGGAGGGGACATGCAGTTTTCTAAAGTAGGCCAGCTCCGCAGCTCTTTCAGTGGAGATATTATGATTTCTCAGGGTTTCCTTGACACTCTCAAACCACTTTTTGCATGGCCTTCCTCTTCCTTTATAGCCTGGGTGCTTGGTGTTGTAGGCTCTCGAGGCTGGCTAGCGAGGTGACTCACGTAACAGGTGGCTAAATCATTAATTTATTCTCTCTCTTTCTATAAAATGCAGTCATGACTCAAGGGAGGGGACTACGGAGTTTTGATTAGTAAGAACTATTAGATAAATAAGAGGAAAAAGGGACGAGAACATGTTGGATTGTGGACGAAGACAGAGGGACAGGAGCTCATGAATGGAGAGTGGACAGGACGGAACAAGAAGAAGAAGAAGAACTACAACAACACAACAACAACAACAACAACAACAACAACAACAACAACAACAACAACAACGAAGAGGAAGAAATAAAACGCAGACAAAAAAGGCAAACAAATATACTCAACAGTCAAAGGAGTATGTGAAGGAGATAGAAGGAGGAGGTTAGGTAAGAAAGATGATGAGCAGATTTAGTGTGAGATTCCCGACTAATGAGGATTATATGAGAGCCCTTGTAGCCTGTCCTGGATGACTTACAGAGGCTTTGGGGAGTCTGTGGAAGCGGTTCTTGCTAAGTCTTTGGTTTGTTAACCCATTTCTTACTCCTTCTCTTTCTCTCTCTTTCTCTCATTTTCTCTCATTCTCTCTCTGTCTCTCTCTGTCTCTCTCTCTCTCTCTCTCGCTCTCCCTCTCTCTGTCTGTCTCTCTTTCTCTCTCCCTCTCTCTTTGTGTCTCACTCTCTACCTATCGTTCCATCTCTGTCTATATCTCTCTTTCTCTATCCCTCTCTCTGTTCCCCTCTCTCTCTTTCTTTCTTTCTTTCTCTCTTTCTCTCTCTCTTTTCTTTCTTTCTTTCTCTCTTTCTCTCCCTGACTTTCTCTCGTTCTCTCTTGCTCTCCCCCTCTATCACTCTCTCTTAGTTTCGCTCATTGTTTATCTCCCCATCTCTGTCTATATCTCTCCTTTTCTATCCCTCTGTCTATCTGTCTGTCTGCCTGTCAGTATGTCTGTCTGTCTCTCTCAATCTCTCTCTCACTCTCTCTCTTTCTCTCTCTCTCTCTCTCTCTCTCTCTCTCTCTCTCTTCTACCTTTTTTTAAAGAAAAGAAAAAAAAACCTGTTTCCATTCCAACTTAACAAAGGAAAGTGTGAGGAACTATATACATACATACAAAAAACAAAAGAAAACAGAACAACCCCTCTCCCTCCCACCAAAAAAGTTTTAAAATGAATAAATAATAAAACAACTGTGACGGTGTGTACAGGGTTAATGACGTACCGGTCGGGTCAGGTCTCTCTCATTAATCCGCTCCGAGATTTGGGGGTGGTGTGTGTGTGTATATGTATGTTTGTTTGTGTGTGTATATGTGTGTATGTATGTGTGTATATCTGCGTGTGTATGTGTGTACGTGTGTGTGTGTGTTTGGGTATGTATATGTGTGTATATGTGTGTATGTTTGTGTCCGTGTGTGCTAGTATGTGCGTGTGTGTGTATGTGTGTGTGTGTGTGTGTGTATGTGCGTGCGTGTATGTGTGTGTGTGCAGGTAAATGTGTGTGTATGTGTGTGTG